ATTTTTTTAAAAAAATGGCAGAATACTGGATGGATACTCTTTAACACTGCTGTCCTCTGGGGATTGCTTTGTCCTATTGGTCAACACTGAAGAAAATATCCCCTGCCTATTTGCTTTTTTCCTCCTCCCTCCTTATGCAGTTTTCCTTTACTTTTCAAAAAACGTTGTACTGCAGCTAAAACTGTGCTCACGACCTGGGGTTCAAACCCCAGGTAGCCGGCTCAAGGTTGACTCAGCCTTCTATCCTTCCGAGGTCGGTAAAATGAGTACCCAGCTTGCTGGGGGGGCAATGTGTAGCCTGTATAATTAAAATTGTAAACCGCCCAGAGAGTGCTTGTAGCGCTATGGGGCGGTATATAAGTCCAATAAATAAATAAATAAATTCATGCCATATTTTAATGACCAGGCACAGACACTGCCTTCCGCGCTTTTATCAGGGACGTATTCAAGGACCCCAGCCCCTGAAAAGAGTTTAGGGGATTTAAGCCCAATGAGCTGTGGTTGTATAGCGTGGAAATGCCTATTGCCTATTGAAGTTGTCTCCGGTGCAGCTTGGCTTGCTTCCTTGAGCAACTTGTAAGCAGAAAGGTTCCCCTCTGTGGTAATGGTAGCTTTTCCCGGCTGGACCTGAAGTTATCTTTGGCAAACCTGCTGCCTTTGTGGAGGCTGCTGGACGCCTGGGAGTCCTGTAGCGCCAAACCACACGAGACCCCCTTGAACTTTGTTGCTTAAAGAGACAGCTGGGAGGGTCAAGCTGCTGGCCGAAGCCTCCCTCGCTTGATGAAACTGGGAGAAAGGCCCCTGAAAAATTATTTAGCAGCTTGTTTCCATCAAGGAATTGCAAAGCCCTGAGTGAAAAATTGAAAGCAGACAGAGAATTACAATAGGCAATGAATTAGGCTGTTCCACCCACATTGTCTGACTAACTATCTTCCCCTATTCCTCTTCTTCTACTTCTGTCTTTCTAAAATCAAAATCATAACCTAGGAGAGGAGATCTTTATTTGGTTTTTATTTAATTGTTTATTTTTACAAGGTTGTCCCTGGCACAGAGGAGACAGGGCAACAAAGCTACAATCAATTTGCGTACATGCCACCCCCCTCCAATAATCTTGGGTAATATGAAAGGACAATGGCAAAGAGCGTCTGGGCATGTCTAGAGTGCCCTTTCCTCACCGTGGAGCAACTGCTGCATACCTAGAATGGAGAATCAAAGCTACTCAGAGTTCTAGAAAAGATCATAGAAACAAAACATACAGAATTAGTACGTGTTCTATGCAGCTCTTCAAATCATGTCTAGATGGCATTGATAGAAAAACCAGACACATCTTCCCTTCTAGAGAAAAGATTGTCGAAACAAACATTCATAATTAGTACGTGTTCTATGCAGCTCTTCAGTCATGTCTAGATGACATTGATAGAAAAACCAGACACATCTTCCCCCATCAAAATTCAAGAGTTGCTTCTTGAATTTCAGGGGTAAAATCACTGTCCCTACTTTTTGCCTCTATTGTAAATCTTTGTCTTATAGCAGTGGCTCCCAACCTTGGGTAACTTTGATGTTCTTGAACCTCCACCCCCAGAAACCCCAGCCATTTAAAAAATTTTTTTTGCTTATTATGTTTTGAATTCTATTCTTTTCATGCCGTAAGCTGCCTCGGGTCCCCTTATCAGGAGAAAGGCAGCCTATGAATAAACGAACAGCATCACCTATTTTTACATGTGTGCAATCTAAGGGGAAACACACAGCCTCATCAAGGAGGAAGCGTCAAATTAGCCATGCTTTGAGGAAGATTTGCTGTGGAGTTCATCGACAAGCTTGTAGTGCGCGCACGCGCATACACACGCACACGCAGAGGCGCATGAGCGAGTGCTTGTCCCCGCAAGGTGCTGGCGGGCAGCCAAGACCCTGATTCGGGAGAGCGCATGGCTCCCAGCCTCCCTGGTGCGCTGAAAACCTCCAATGCCAGGCCGGTCACCTCTAACATGGCTTGTGGAATTGTCGCATGGGCGCCGAGAACAAAACCCCGTGGTCTCTGGCATCTCTGTGTCTATCGCCGCCTGGGAACAACACACAGATGCCCACCACTCTCTCCCTCATATAGCTAGCCCACAGCTGGCCCCGGCCACGTTAGGACCAGGAGCATCACCATCATCATCCACACCACTGATTGCGCATAATATCCTAGCCATGTTCCGAGAGGTAACCTTAGGGCAAGCTGAGATCCTGTCCGCACCAATTTAAAGCCGCTGCCTCTCACCCGACGCAAGACCCCGCAGGCAAAACAGTGCTAAAAAATTTTTCCCCTTTAAAAAAGTAAGATTAAAGTGAACAGGGCTGCCCTGGGAGCCAGGCCTTTTGAATATAAAAAAATTAAAATGTGGCCATGACTCATGAAGGATGTTGAAAGTTTGTTTCCCACATGCGTGAAGGACTATCTCATATGACATAACCACATACATTCAGACTTCTATTCTTCACTGCATCTCTGTAAGCGGTGGGAACCCACAGTTTGCTACGGATGACCAACGTGTGTGGTACTGTGTAGATGAGGTTGCCAAAGAAACAAGACAACGTGGTTACCTCTGCAGGCCAAGCTGCTGCTATGGGTTCAGGATCAGGGCTCACCCCAAAGGATGGCACCGTTCTATGTTTTCTATTTACTCACAGAAGTTATGCGCCCATGAGCAGCAGGAGTTCCACGCACTAAGCAACAGACGTTCCAACCTCGTCTTATAACGCATGCAGGATTTCCAGGTGTTTCAACCATAAATCTCAAGGAAGGGGACGCTGCCAACCTAACACCCCTAGATTTAGAATTTTGTTCTCTTGACGGAAGGATGTGCCATTGAGACATGCTCAGAAACACCCTTGACTATTTATTTATCTTCCATGCTGTGGAGTTGCTGTTGTTATTCCTGAAATTCAAAGGTTGGCCTTTAAATTCACCACTGAGGCACTACATTCTCTCTCTCTCTCTCTCACACACACACACACTCCTATTTATCATTCAGAAGCAGCTGAGAAATTCCAAATCCAGTGTGTCAATTTTGAAGCATGCCATTTATTTGCTGAGCTTAGAAAAAAAATAATTGTTCAGAAGGACTTTGGCCTCCAGATCCCCTTGGCCAGGTCGCCAAGGCCCATACTGGGTGGGGGATTCTGGGCTTCGTAGTCCTCCCAAAATTACCTTCTCCACGCATGTGGAAACCTGTGTTCTCCAAACAAACAAGCAAAGATCTGGCATTTAAACCACAAACATGTTGAAGGCACACACAACTCCAACCTGGCCCTGGCTGTGGATGGCTGATGCTCATTTGCTAGGAACTAACACACATACAGAGAGAGAGAGAGAGAGAGAGAGAGAGCGAGCGAGCTTTCAAAAACAAATCTGTTAACCGGCCAGCTGTAATTACACACCCTTCGATCCGTTCCTGACACACCCCTTTTCCTCTGTCTATAAAATTCCATCTTGCTGTCCCTGTGGGTCCCCCTCCACCCCCTACCGTTCCCGCCCATCCTAACCTTCTCTAGCCATCCGCCCATCCTCCTAACACACATTCCACCCCGTGTGTCCATTCATACCATCTGGAGAGGGGGAAAAAACCACATTTCTTCCTGTACACACCTACACAAGCCCATGTCTGGATACTGGGACTGCTGAACAGATTCAGAAAGGTCCTACAGAAAGCAGAAAGTCCAGAAGCAACCTGCCTTGGTCCAATTTGTATGAAGTCCAAAGTGGACTCGGTTCCAGAGCGCAGGAAAGCGTGTGCACACTTGAGATTAGTTCAGATCCTGAGCCCAAACCAAATCATCCAAGAGGTAAAACATTTTGACGACAAATAACTTTTTGTTTTTGTTTTCCATTTTTAATGCAAACTTTACATTTTCCTCTCGGGCAAACCTCAGAAGCTAGCTGTCTGAACTTTGGCAGACTCCTCTGTTTAGGGTCTATCCCGTTTCCAGATTTCATATACATCACAGCAAAAACAACAACAACAGGAACAGTTATCGCTGTTTTGTTTTTCTAACATATTGACTTTTAACAAATCAATTGGGATGTGAGGGAGAAATTGGATTGGTTGGGTCACAATCTCCTCTGGACCAAATTGCGATCTGCGTGGAAGCTCCAAACTGGCCTGCAGACGAAAGCAGGAGACCCAGGCGAAGCCCTACTAAAACACCCAGTGCCTGTACTGTATTTTCAGTTTTTCCTCCTCTAACAACTTTTCCATTCAAGCCATGTTTTATTCGCCTTCTTTTCGACCGTCTCCCTCAGGTCGGCACATAAAGACAATGGGTGCATTTGTCACAGATCAAGTTTGCCGGAGGAAAGATAGGGTAGACATAGAAAAAACAAAGAAATTAAGGCAAAGGCTGGGGGGGGGGCTCACAAGAAAGAAAAATGCTAAGCAAAACTGGCCCCATAGTTACCCTGCTAAGGACAACCTAGGAAGCCAAATCGATCCACATCAGCTGAGCAGTTGTGCTGTGTGTATCTCCACCAAAAGCAGGACTTTTGTAAACCTCATAGGTCTTAATGACCCTTTCAAAACCAAGCCATTCCCAAACACTTTTCTCTACTAAAGTGACCAGTTACAAGAATATTGTGTGCCTGGGAAAATTCAGCCTCCATTGACAGCTGCTGGACAGATCAGAGAAATGGGCTTCCTTTCGACAGACTAGAATCCTATTGCCGATTTACACGTGCGCAAGGGAAATCTTCACCATCTTAGTAGCCTCTTGCTGTTCATTTACAAAGTACTGCTTGTGTTCCTGGGCGTGCGCCCTATGACATGATGGGACACGCCCAGGAACACAACCAGTACCTTGTCCGTGAAGAGCAATGTGCCACTATGATTCAACTGGCTTTCCTTTCACTAGAGTAAATCACAAGTAGGATTTGGGGTACTGTTTTCTGTCATATCAACACACACAGACAACAGATATATGAGCACAAATAGTTGTCTCACTAAACTTTAGCAGGAGAGCCAAATGAACACACCTTGACCCCTGAAATTGAGCAGCAAATCACTCACTCATGCACACTCCCCCCTCCAGGTAACCGTGTCTCATATCAGTGAAGTTATCTAGGCTCAAAAAAGCAGAAAATCACACAAGTACTTTTACAAATCACAACGAGATTTAAAAATACAACAACAGCAGAAGCGACAACGTGATTAAAAATTTGCCACCCTTTTGGTTATTTATTTCTATCCTGCCTTTCCTTCAAAGAGCACAAGGCGATGTAGATGACATTATCTCTACCTTTACTTCACAACAATCTTCGAAAGTAAGCCAGGCTGATGGTGAGAGTGGCCTTAAGTCGCCCTGCGAGTGCACCCCTCTGGCTTTCAGCTCTGCTACACCCGGCTGCCTAACGAGGCTCCCTCACATTCACCCCTGTCCACTTACTTGGGAGCGGATGGATTTGCCTATAGTGAGGGATGCTATTCCTCTAGCTAGCAGAGCACATCTGGTAGACCTCTGTCTGGACCATCTCCACAGAGGGGCAAAGATTTCTGCCTTCTGGCTGCTTAATAATAGCAGGAACAAGATGTTTTCTATTCGGCACTAAGTTATCCTGCTTAGCATATGTCTTCTGGTAGTCAAATCAAGGTTATAGCTGATGGATTTGGGTGTTCTACTAAAAGACCAAGTACGCCTCACAAGCCCGAGGACCCACCCTTGATCTCTTCTGAAAGGCTGTTGCTTTCCAGGGTCTCAAAGCTGAGATCAACGCAAGCTGGCATTTTTCCATTTTCCTTAAATATTTCTAGCACAACAAAGGCTTGATTCTATGGGTGTCTCTGGATGCATATCCCTGCCTAGCCACAAGTACAGAATTTACATACCATCTACCCAGCAATAATATCACTAGTGCTTAATTTACAATGTGAGCACCGCTCAGCATCTGTGAGGAAAAGAAGGTGTCTGTGCATTACGTGCCAGTACACATGTGAGCACATGTACCCACAAATTTCTAAAACCTGAAATATTGGGAAACAAACCTGGCAAAATAATTTCGAAGGTCTTCAGAGCGTCTGTTGTTTTTTTTTTAAATTATATATAGTCTTCTGCTTGATTAATCAGTGGCTACCCCCTTCTACTACTATCTTTGTCTCTGATCTAACTATTCCTAGTCAATCGATCCAGCTATTGTCTCCCGCCAGGACAGGACTCTAGCTGGACCATCTGGAAGAAATTTAATAGACTTCGTGGCGAACTAGGAAGATCAAAGAATAACTGAGTAAAATGGGGCTCCTTGGATACAGGACACATTTTCTGCGACTGTGGGGAAATTCAATCCATGCAGCATTTCTGTAAATGCAATTTATGCCCCACATATACGAATGAAGATCTAGCAAACGGCCAAAATAACGCTATTGACGTAGCCTTGCTTTATAGTCAAAAATAGTCTTAACCCTCTTAAAATTTTAATTTTATCTAGATTTCATATACATCCATAATTTTAAATTGTGTAATGCTCTGAAATAAATAAAGAAGCAATTATATGAGTCAGCATTGCAGCTGTAGAAGCTTCTCTGCTATAAAGCAAGGCATTGAGATGTGATATCAGGGAAGAAGGGTCTAGCAGTTAGAGATAAAGAGAACTGCAAGCTCAGATCTTTCAAGATTCTCTGTTTTATCCCTACATCGCGAAGCACTCGGGTGTTTCAGCAAATCCTCTTGCATCGTGTCTTTCACTGCGGGAGCTAGCCAGCACAGCGCTATTCAGCTTTCCCGCATTTAAAGCAAGTTTTCCCAGGTTAAAGCTGGGAACTCCAGCAATTCAGGGTTCTTGGTTCCCCACCCCTGAAGACAGTTCCTGATGGATTTGTGGACAAGAGGTTGCATGGGGATGTATAGATCTGCCTTCCACTATAGGAGGGAGGATTAAAAACAGAGGGCGAGCGATGAAGACCCACCACTCCCTGCTCCAGCTGTGGAGGTCAGTCAGGCTCTCCTTGTAAACACCAAACACTTCTCCTTCAGGACCACTGAGCCAGCTGTTGCCCATCTCTGCCAAGACCCCCCCTCTTTCCCCCTCCAACACCCATTTCTCCAAAGGTCTCACCTGTCACAGTCCAGGGGAACCCCAGTTTGTGCCCCCCTGCATCGGGGCCAGCTTCCTCCTCACGCTCTATTTCTTCCTCTCTCTGACATTCTCTTTACCATTTCATCCCTCCCTCCCTCTCTCACTCTCTCTTTCCCTCCCACCCTTGTCCTCTCTCGGGTCCTGCCAACTATAAATAATCACTTCTCTCTCTTGCGCGCTCTCACTGGCTTTCCGGCCTCAGGCGTGCCTTGCAAAGTTTCTGCGCTCTGCTGCTCCCAGCTTTCATCCACAGTCCGGGCACTGCTCACCAACCTGCTTCACTACCTGCTAGCAACACCAAATACATGCAGTGCTTTGCTGGCTCGGCATTTCTCATGCACCGCCTCTAGCCATGGATGTCCATTTTTCTAAACCGACGAGCCGATGCCTTTTTTTTTTTTGGGTCCCTTTTAACACTTGCAAATGTTTATTTTTTTCCCAGGGCCGACTCTACTGTTTGGCAGAGTGAAGCGAGGGGCTCAATAGATGACATATAAAGGCAGCGAATGGTTATTGGCTGAATTTATTGCATTTTATTAGTAGTGTTTATTCTTTACTAGTAGGGAACTGGATGAGTTCTTTTGTGGATTTTCTGCCTCTCACACTCAATAACGGCTTTATTAATTTATTCGTTAAAGTTATATTTTGCTTTTCCTCACAGGCGCCCAAGGCAGAGAACATAGCCATCATCCTCGTTTTTTTATCCTTACAAGACCCCCTGTGGTGCAGTTAGCACAGAGGGAAAGAGAGAGCGACTAAAAGAGGTAGACAGATGGACTAGCTACCCCAAGTTACCCCATGAGTTTCATAACTGACTTGATATTTGAACCAAGGTCTTTGGTACTGGGTATATTCATGTTAGAGTGACTGTTTGCTGCTGGACCTCCGAAAGCAAAATATTTTGGTGTGGCCCTGTGTTGTTGTTTTTCAATCTTTCTGCCTCCCTGTCTGTGTAAAGCTGAGTATATTCAAGATTAATTGATATACCGTAGTTCTCCGCGTATAAGACGCCCCCGTGTATAAGACTCCCTCCACTTTTCTAATCCAAAATTAAGAAATCTAAGTGGGGCTTAGCAAGTGTAAGGGGAAAGGGATCAGATCGCTGCAGAATCGCTTTGATCCCTGCTTTCCCCTCCACTTGTTTTTGTTCTCTCCTCAGCTTACGTCCGTCCGTGTATAAGGCGACCCTCAATTTTTGGTCTAAAGATTTTAGTCAAAAGTATTGTCTTATACATGGAAAGTATACGGTACCTCGGTGAGTTGGAGCGCCTGGCTTCAAAGGGGCCAGGAGTTTGAATCCCGCTTCTTTCTCAGCCAAGACTGGTGGAAGCATGTACGACCGATGGGCTATGTGCTCTATGTGTCAGCTGTGGGCAACCCTGCTCGGCTTTACCACTTGTGTGGTCTTGGGCAAATTGCAGAATTCCAGAGCAGGGGTTTTCCCGCCTTGGGTCATCCAGATGTTCTTGGATGGCCACTCTCAGAAATCCTGGAGCAATGCAGCGAATGGAGGAAGCTTCTGGAAACTGTAGTCCAGGAATGCCTCAGTTATCCAAAGTTTGAAGCCGTTGCTCTAGAGGGTTGACAAGAACCAATAAATAGAAACAGCAGGAAGAAATATCTTAACGGTAACAGTGGTTCAAAAGCAGCGCAGACTGTCTTGAGAGGTGGTGAGCTCGGAGACTGGACCGCTATCTCTCAGGGATGTTGCAGTTCTAACAATGACAAAAAGACTGCATACCTTCTGCACATTTTTTCCCAGCCCCCATCGCCTGCAGATTCCCTGTAATTATTCAGTGGTGTGGAAAGCGCTGTCTGCACCCGCTCAGAGGCACTCCTGTCTCAGTTTTAACTCCATGTATTCCTAGGGTTGACCGCAGAGTAACAGAGGGGCTGATTCTGGCAACCCATGAAGTCCACGGGGCCAGCGCAGACAAACGTTTCAGACAAGTCCAGCCTCTGGCTGGCAGAAGGCCGACGAGGCTCGTTTTACTGCTCTGCAAGCAAAACGAAGCCAAAGTTAAGTCCTTTCACAGGGCAATCCTATGCTCCCTGTTCAGTGGCCTCTCCCTGCTGCCTCAGTGGGTTTTGGAGCGAGACCTTAAAGTCACATTGATTTCACAGACAAAGCTGTGACTATTTTCTCTGTTGCTGGAATTTCACACCTCTGCCTTTACTGGTGTCGTTCCGCTTCTACTAAGCCACAAATGTGTGTGTACATTTGTGAAAGCTGTATGACAAACTAGCAGAACTCGTCCATATCCACAGCATACTGTATCTATAGAAACAGGGAGTTGGGTGGGAACCTCTTCTTTTGTTAATTGCTCTCTCTCTCTCTCTCTCTCTTGTTGCTGGAATTTCACACCTCTGCCTTTACTGGTGTCGTTCCGCTTCTACTAAGCCACAAATGTGTGTGTACATTTGTGAAAGCTGTATGACAAACTAGCAGAACTCGTCCATATCCACAGCATACTGTATCTATAGAAACAGGGAGTTGGGTGGGAACCTCTTCTTTTGTTAATTGCTCTCTCTCTCTCTCTCTCTCTCTTCATAGGTTCCAGCTACCTCTGTCAAACAACAACAGTAATATTCCCCTGATTGCTGATAAAATGTTCTACGAAAACAAAATACGGCGACTCCTTTAGGTCTGATAAGTTTATTTCCGCATGAGCATTCAAGGAAGACAGCCGGCTTCCTCAGAAGGTAGATTATCGTCCACAAAAACGCGCACTGGACTAAATCTGTCAGTCTTAACCCTTTCACAATATTTTTTGCATTTTGCTTTGTTTTCTGCTGGCTGTTCCTAACACACACCAAGAGGGACACTTTTCTGAAAACTCATTCAGGGAATGAGTTAGGGAGGCCTTAATAATAATCATTATACTGTACAGCTGTGGTCCCCAACCTTGGGCCTCCAGATGTTCTTGAACTTCAACTCCCAGAAATCCTGACCAGCAGAGGTGGTGGTGAAGGCTTCTGGGAGTTGTAGTTCAAGAACATCTGGAGGCCCAAGGTTGGGGACCACAGCTGTACAATATTTATGTGCCGTCAATTCTGACTCATGGTGATCCTCTTCAGGGTTTTCTAGGGAGAGAGAATTAAGGAGTGGTCTGCTATTCCCTTCTTTTGAGGAGCCCTGGAACTGCGCAGCTTGCCCAAGGCCACCCAGGCTGGCTCTATTCATAGTGGGAAATTGAACTGCCAACCTCTGGCTCTGCAGCCCGATACCTAAACCAGCCAACTGTGATTTATTATTCCCCTCGTCTGGGAGCATCCTGTGCAGCTTGCCCAAGGCCACACAGGCTGGCTCTTCTCCTAGGAGGCACATTAGGAAATCAAACTCCCAACTTCTCACTTTGTAGACAAATACCTAAACCACTGAACTCTCCAGCCAACTGCAGTTCACTATTCCTTTCTTCTGGAAGCACTCCGGCACTGTGCAGCTTGCCCAGGGCCACCCAGGCTGGCTGTACTCACAGGAAGCACAGCGGGGAATAAAATTCCCTACGTTTGGCTCTGCAGCCAGATAAGTAAACCAATGAGTTATCCAGCCAGCTTATACAACCTTTTTAAAAAAGTAAACTCACAATATTAGGGTGCATATATCTACACCTTAATCTGGCTTCCACCCACACCCTGGGACTATCTGAAAGAGTTTGTGTGTTTGTGCGTGTTTAAAGAGATCCCTTTTCTGTCTTCGCTAGCACTGGCTCCCCTTCCTCCCTCTCTTTCCCTCCTCCAGATGCTGACCAACACCCTCAGGGAAAGTTTCCTCTGCTGTGCTGGCTTTTTTTTTTTTTTAACAAACTAAAGATTCTGACATTTTACTATCATGCACAGACAGTAGCTTGAGGCTAATTTATGAGCTCTGTAATAGCTTCTGCCAAAGAACGGGACCCATGTTTTTCCTGAGTGTGGTTTCACTTGACCTGTCAACAAGAAAATGGAAACAACAGTGTTGTGGCACTTTCGGAGCTAGTACACCCCTTTCAGCACACACTTTCGTCGTTTACAGCCCTCTTCTGCATAAACAGATCCTGTGTATCTGGAGGAGAGCCTTACAACTCACCAAAACTCACATCGGGACACACCTGTGATCCTTTAGGCTGCCATAGGTCAGAGTCTGATGGAGGTCTGCTAAAAGGTTTACGTGCCCTGATGCGACTAATTATTTAGTTCACTGGTTCTTAACCTTGGGTTACTCAGGAGTTTTGGACTGCAACTCCCAGAAGCCTTCACCACCAGCTGTCCTGACTGGGGTTTCTGGGAGTTGCAGTTCAAAAGCATCCGAGTAACAAAGGTTAAGAACCACTGATATTTGGCTTTTATATCACCCGTCTTGACAAATCTACTCTGCAGCTGGCTGATGGGGCACCGGGGTGCGTCTCGGTTGTGCGCCTGATTATGCACCCAGTTGTGCAACTTGGACATAGTTTGGCACCCCACCAATTAGCGACAGCTATTTGGTTTTTATATCACCCGTCTTAACAAATCTACTCTGCAGCTGGCTGATGGGCACCGGGGTGCGTCTCAGTTGTGCGCCTGATTATGCACCCTGTGCAACTTGGACGTAGTTTGGCACCCCACCAATTAGCGACAGCAAATAATGCAAAACAGAATATGAACAACAGTAGGCTTTCAGCCATAAGTATTTTGCAGGAATTGAAACAGGCTAACAGGGCAGTGCCCTCTAAAATAACCCAAGTTCCCTATTCTGTGAAGTCTTTGAAAAGCACGTTTTCTGGAAATGAAAGAGAAAGAAAGCATCAAGGAAGTCACTTTATTCGATTGTTTGCTGAGACTTACAGTTAAGATGGCTTTCATCCTCAGACTTATTGTATTTAGGTTCCACTTGGTTGACAAATACTCCTTTCCTCCTTTGGCACATACAACCTCTCCAACAACAAGCCAGGACAAGACTCTAGCTGGACCATCTGGAGTTACCTAATAGACTTGAAAGGGAAGTTTTAACCAAAACCCTAAGTATCTGTTAAATATCGGCACTGTATTGTGCTGTTCCTAATATTGCTGTTTTTGGAGGCATGATGGTGTGATTTCTAAGATCTGCAACCGCTTATAATACTGTG